CAATTTGTATGATTTTCATTAAATTTGTTGTTCAGTGTGGTGGTGCATAGCAGTAATCCTTGAACTCAGAGGATTGAGGAGGATCATTGTGAGTTGAAACCAGCCTGGGCTACATAGTTCAAGGCCAGCCCAGACTATATTGCAAGATTCTACACCGCCCCCCCAAAAAAATAATAATAATAATTACTAGACACTAGCCCAGAATATGTTTTACTTTGGTGAGTGTTGCATACATTGTTGGGGGTTTTCTTGGGGGGAGGGGAATTGCTACACGTTGAACCCAGAGGTACCCTTATCACTCAGCTACATCTCCAGCTCTTTATTAGTGACAGGTTCTCACTATTTCCCAGGTTGGCCTTGAATTTGTACCATTCCTGCTTCACCTCCCAAGAAGCTGGGATCACAGGTGTACACCCACATTCAGCTATACATCCTCTTAAGAAATGAAAAAATATTCTTTCCAGGTAGAACGTTGTTAGGTACTGCATTCTAGAAATGTCAACCAGGTCATGAGAGGTAGCACTGCTCAAGTCTAATGTGTCTCGCTGATTTCCTATTTGCTCAATAGATAGTAATCAATAGATCACTAAAAGAAGATTCAAGTTACCAAGTCTAACTGTGAATTTGAGAAGCAATTCCTTTAAAATGCAAGTTAGCTACCAGGGCACGGTGGTACATGTGTGTGATCCCAGCACTTGGGAGGCTGAGGCAAGAGGACTGCCTTGAGTTTGAAGCCAGCCTGGGCTACATAGTTAGTTGAAAGTCAACCTGAGCTACAGAGTAAGTGAAAACCTGTCTCAAAAACACAAAACAGGGGCTGGCAAGATGGCTCAGTGGTCTAAAGCACCTACTTAGAACAAGCTAAGCAAAGCACAGGGACTGCGGTTCAATCCCCCAGCACCACATGCCAGCCAGCCCCGCCCCCTGGTGGGCTGAGCTGGCCACACATACACACACACACACACACACACACACACACACAAAATAAATAAATTTTTAAAAATAAATAAATAAATATTTAAAAAAAAGAAAAACACAAAACAGGCTGGTTGTGGTGGCACACACCTGTAATCCCAGCACTTGTGAGGCTGAGGCAGGAGGATTGCTGAGAGTTTGAGGCCAGTCTGAACTGCAGAGTGAAACCCTATCTCAAAAAAACAAAAAGCAAAAACAAACAAACAAAAAACCCACAAAACACAAAACAAATCAAACAAAAAGAAAGTCATAGCTCAGCAGACTAAAGTGCCAGCTTAGGAAGATGCAGGGACTGAGGTTCGATCCCACATGCCATGCTGGCCCCGCCCCTGGGGCGCACTGAGACTGGGCATGGTGGCACACACCTGTAATCCCAGCATTTGGGAGGCTGAAAACAGGAGGATCACTACAAGTCCAATCTGTATAGTGTGACCCTGTAGGCTCTATACTAAAATACATTAAAAAAAAAAAAAAAAAGTCAGCTTACCATTCTGAATCTGAGCCACTTTTTTTGAAATCTCTCCAATGATCTGTGAAATAAATGATAGCACATTTTCATGTCTTTTGAAATATTTGAAAGCACAGGCAAACTAAACTTCAAAACTCATCATTAAAACTACTTAGAATTCTGGTGTAAGAGTCATTTAGGCTGGGGAGATAGCTCAGCAGCATAGCCCCTGCCTGGCAAGCACATGGTCCTGAGTTCCAACCCCAGGATCAGAAAAAAAAAAAAAAAAAAGTCATTTAGATTAAAAATGAAGCAACTGGGCCGGGGAGATGGCTCAGTGGAATAAGCACTTCCCTGGCAAGTGCAAGGGGCCAAGTTCAATCCCCGGTTCCACAAAAAAAATAAAAATAAAAAAAAATAAAAAATAAAAATGAAGCAACTAGAGACTTGTTAATTCTGTGGAAATCAGACACATCCACAAGTCACCTGTCGTCTCCACTTCTCAGCTTTGGGCAGCTCTGTACATTCTGAAGCCAGGAAAGGTCTTCTTTCCTAGGGAGAAGAAAAGATTTTAATTGTATGATTTTAGTTAAATTAAATGGGTCACTGGACTAGCTACAGCTCATGCAACGCACATGGTGGATCAAGGCTTAAGGTCACAAGTTCGACCAGTCTCAGCACATTTAAAGTTTCAGTGACAGGCTCTCCTCCTTGGTCCTTAAACCTCACTCCAGTCTCTCCTTAGGGAACAACTACAGACAAAAACCACAAGTGTAGGCATAGTACCATGAAAGAGTGGAAACAGCATAAATACCCAGTAAAGGAGAGAACATGACCTATGTATACTACCTTGAAAAAGGATAGCTGTCAGTATTTAAGCCAAATATACGTGTGTGTGTATTCACACATGAATGCACGTGCACATTTACAAACTTAAAAAAAAAAAAAAGTACTCAGAGCCTAGTATCTATCAGCCCTATCTGCCTGGGTCCCCCTGAGCTGAGATTCTGCCATATTAGACAGAGCTGACATATAAAGGGGAATCAGTTATCATTTTAGGAAAAATAAACCATCAAGTGAGCACATTGCCCCAGTTATCCAGAGGAACATCTTCAACTTGGATATGAGCAAGGACAGACGGCTGTGGGCCTCCAAGTTTGTACAAGAAGGAGTTCTGCTGTACTTGTTCTGGACACTTTATAGCTCATCAAAAAAATTTACACTCACCTTCACTTTCCCTTCTTCCAGCTGAGCCTGGCGAAACCTCGCCAATGCTGTCCTGCCAGAGACATAAAAGACATCATTAGAGCCCTCTCAAACTTCTGATCTCCCAAGCTCCCGGAAGGAGCAGAGCTGCTCATGAGCACATTTAATATTCACAAGAACAGCAATCAAGAAACTAAAACTAAGAGTGCCTTAAGATCTCCATGTCTCAGGGAGCAAGGCCCACAAAGCTATCTGTGAATTGGTTGGCTGGTTTGAGTGGTACTGAGGATTGAACACAATGCCTCATACAAGCTAGTCAAGTGCTTTGTAACTGAGCTACTTCTCAATCCTCTCTGTTTTCTTTTGACATGGAGTTAAACTGCCCAGGCTGGCCTTGAACTCCTCATCCTGCTTCAGCCACATGAGTAGCTAGAATAATTAATTAGACAGGTGCTAATTTCTGTCAAAATTTATCTTCTTCCACCTTTTCTTTCCCCTCCCCCTATTTTTGTGACCCTTGGGGCTAAATCCAGGCCTTTCACATTGGGCTATATCCACATGCCATTTTAATCTGGAGGAGAGTAAAGGGGACAGGATCTTATTAACTCATTTCTCTCTTATCTGGCCATTTGTATTTCTGAACACTCAAGTATCTAATTTACTATGCTGCATGTAAAGATTTCAAAAAACTCAATTCCTCAGACCACTGTGATGAGTACTGTATCCAAATGGTAAAAGATTAGTTTCATGGAATTCTCTAGCTGTTCTTCCCACACCATTCACAGGTAAACAAAAGTTTATCCAGTATAAGCTCTGGAAGCTGTCAGAAAACCCTAATGGGATAAAAGAAATGGACAGATATGGGGGTGCTATTTTACACAGAGAAAGAAATGGCTTCTCAAATGGCTTCTGTACCAAAAGGATCACAGCCCCTGTCGTAGTTAAATCACAAAAAGCAATCAGTCAAAATGATATACTTGGGGCTGGGGAGATGGCTCAGTAGAATATGTGATATACTTGGGGCTGGGGAGATGGCTCAGTAGAATAAGTGCTTGCCTGGCAAGCACAAGGGCCTGAGTTCAATCCCCAGTTCCACAAAAAAAAAAAAAAAAAAGATATACTTACATGGCCTTCTCTGCATTTCGGGCCTGGAAGAGAAGGAAAGAAAAATATCCATGTTTAAAATACTCCTTTTATTTATTTTTTTACATTGATTGTTTAAAATTTTTCTTTTTCTTCTGTATTTTTTTTTTAGGGAAGGGTCTACAGGGTGTTTAGGGTCTCACTACATAGATCAGACTTGTAGTGATTCTCCTCTTTATAGCCTTCCAAGTGCTGGGATTACAGGCGCGTACCACCACCCCAGTCTCAATCACCATCTCAGCACACCCCACAGTGTGTGTGGGGGGGGGGCACGACACTGCAGGCAGGCTCAGGAATTGAAACCCAGCCTCTGCACCTGCTTGCAGGCATTCTAACCCGCTGAGCTATTTGGCTGGCCTCCTGTTTAAAGTTATCTATACAGTCACAAGCAGAATGCTTTCAGAACATCTTTTTATCTTATTATGCAATCATGTGATAGCTTATTTTTTATTCAACTTTTTATGTTACTAGAAGTATTACTGAGCTGGAGGTGTACCTCAATGGTAGTGTTTGCCTAGCATGCATGAAGCCCTGGGTTCAGTGCTCAGCACCACCAATAAATAAACAAACAAATAAATAAATAAATAAATAATACACATTTAAACATAAATGGTGCCTTTTTGCTAAAAAAAGATACTGTTTTGTAGCCTTGTGTGTACCCTAGACCAGTATATTATTTCTTCTACTTGATATGGTGAAGTACCCCAGGCAAGTAGAGCTATCTACAGATGGGATATGTATATTTTATGAACATATGGATAACTTGTTTTTCAGGGCTAAGAATCAAACCAGGTGTGCACTACTACTGAACTTACATCCTCAGCCTTCCCCCCCGCCCCAGTACTGGAGATTAAATTTGTGCTTGCTAGGAAGGCACTTATGCCACTGAGCTATTTCACTGGCCCCAGCCTTTATTTTTTTGAGTCAGGATCTCAGTAATTGCCCAGGCTTGGCTTAATTTTTGGTCTCAGCCTCCTGAGTTGGGGGCCTGCCCCTTAGCTCAGTTCTTTAAGTGGCTGCTTCAACAAAGCAGTCAGGCTCACATTGCTGTGGTTCGATTCCCACAACTCAAGCCAGGCAACCATGCCCTGAAGGCATTCGGAGCAAAAAAAAAAAAAAAAAAACCTTCAGCCTCCTGAGTAGCTAGGATTACAGGTATGCGCCACTACAGCTGGCCATTTTACATGTGTACACTGTTCATACTTACATAGTCACTTATATGCCTGTGTATGTACCATCACTATAGCATATACAAATAAATATACACACACATATATATGAATATTAAACGATACCACTGTTGTGGAAAAGGCTATGGACTGATGACATTTGAGGCCTCTCCAAACCCTGCTTTTCTGCCCTGAGTCTCTCATGGGCATTTAATAGGGCCCTCGCTTCGTGAGCTGCACAGCAGCCAAGCCTCCATGTGCCTAGTGCACGGTGTCCTCCTATTTACATATGCTGGACAGAAGAGGCCAACAAGCAGAAAGATCACACACACGCGGGCTACATATCGTCTCTGACCGGCCCCGACGACAAGCCACCGTGCTACACTGTGACTGGGAGTAGACCCTCCAGCTCTGTGCCTCAATTTCCCTGTGGATAAGTAAAGAGCTTCCCGGAACTAAAATGCGGTCCCAGGCGGCCCGGTGGCTCCGGTGATCGCCGTGTTTCTCCTTTTTGTCAGCAACGAGGAGAAGAGGAGCCCCAAATCTCATTACGAAGCCTGAAGCAGAGGCGGTCCCAAGAGTCCCAAAGCCCTAGGTGCCACAGCCCACCCTCCTCCACCCAGCCAGCATCCAGCACCATCCAGCACCCACTCACCATGGTGGCAGTGTGGGCGCCGCTCTGCGCCCGCGCAGCTCCTGGACCGTCAGCTTCTCGTCGCTGATCAAGCTGACCCTAGCAGGAACCGAAGATTCAAACTCCTGTGGATACCGACCTTGGTCGGAACAGTAAGTGGAAAGGATCGGAAGTGACGACAGTGCGGCGAGTAAGCGGAAGTGAATGATCTGGGAGGGGAAGCTATTGGCTGTCTTCCAGTCTGTTTTGCGCGCGTTTCTACTACCCGTAGGAGTGAAGGAGGGTGGGGGCAGTCACGCTCGCTTACGGGGACTGGAGTTGGTCACATTAACTGTTGGCACTCCTGAAGTGTGCGACGCTGCTTTCTATTTTTTTTTTTATTAGTACATGTTTGTGGTATATAATGTTTACATTCCATGTGTGGAGTTGGTACCTTTACCTAATATCACTTAATTCATTTTTCATCCTTTGTCTTTAGCTCCTGTCCCCTCTCCCTCCATCTCTTTTTTTTTTTTTTTAAACATTTATTTAGTGTGTGTGTGTGGCCAGCTCAGCCCACCAGGGGGCGGGGCTGGCTGGCATGTGGTGCTGGGGGATCGAACCGCGGTCCCTGTGTTTTGCCAAGCTTTTTCCAAGTAGGTGCTTTAGACCACTGAGCCATCTCGCCAGCCCGCTGCTTTCTATTGTGTGAAAGAGAGCGTGAGGTTCTGGTTCCTTCTAATCTCTCTGGCCCCTTTCAGTGCTCTTCTGTGGAAGCGGAAATTACCCGTCCTCATTTTTATTTACAGCCGGCGGAGCCCCTCAACCGCATCATTCCCCTCTTGCGGGAATGGAGGCCCTGACAACTGTAGAGTGAAGCTGGGCTCCGATATTATAGCGGGTGCCCACCGACCTGAGCAAGGCGCGTTGATCTAGTCTCGAACCGACCCGGCTTCGCCAACTCGGTCACTGTCCACTGCTGTTTACTTGGACTTATGCTCTTTTTGACCCTTGTGCAACCTGGAGTCATGGAGAGCTGGGCAGTGTTTTGTTTTGGTACAGGGTTTCACTATGCAGCTTGGACTCGTACTGATCTTCCTGTTTTCAGCCTCCCCAACGATGGAATTACAGGCGTGCACCACCACGCCATCTTCGGCCGTCAAGGCGCCCTGGGCAGCCCGCCCAGTGTAGCTGGGCTCGAACCCCAGCCCCAGCACTGGTCTAAGCAAGCAATTAGTCCGCTGAGCTATCTTGCTGGCTCTTGGATAGTGTTTTGAGGTCACTCTCCCTAAAGGATTTTAGTATCCCGTTAGGATATAGATATAATCCACTACTTAAGAGGCTGAGCCAGGAGGATCAAATTAGAGCCCCACTTGGGCAATCCAGTAAGATCCTGTCTCAAAAATGTAAAA